TGCTGCCATCCTTACATCCATTTTCCCCCTGTCATTGCTTTCCTACCTAGCACCTACTTAACAAGGCACACAGGTGCACTCACTGGGGTGACACAATTTCACAGCACAGTGACAAGATGGAAATACAGTCTGGGTCCTGTGTCTGCTCAAGGGGCTCTACATTAAGTCCATCTGCACACATCTGTTAGGGCACTGAGGCACCTGTCAAGGCCTTGCACCTCTGGTGCAGACTGAGGCCTGCATCCCTCTACAACTGAAACATTGTAATTTGAATTAAGATCTTGAACCACTTTGGAAAAGTGGTACTTTAACAGACCTTTTTCTTTCAAAATGGCCAAAACCATCATGGCAAGCCTGTGGCATGGTTTTTGGCATGTTACTGATTTTTAAAATTCTGAAGAGATTTAATTGCTTGCCATTAGTTCCATAAATTGCCTAATATAGAAATTTTCTCCCCTGGTGTGCTATGGTTAGTCTAATCAGGAAGGAGAGTGGAAGCCCTTGGAATGAATGACCTTTTTGGGAATCATCCAAGAGAAAGACTATAACTTCCTGGCTTTAGTAAGAGAGAGTTGTTATGTTTTTCTCTGTTGTAATGCTTCCCTCACTAGACTCTGTCATGATAACAAACCACCAAAAAACCACCAAAACCAAGCCCCGCTCCCCACTCCAGAGGCTGGATTGAGTGGGGATTTTTGGAGGACGGCACATTGAAGGATCGGAGGTGTTTCTGTCCTGTGTACTTCAGGATTCCCATAAGGCTGTAGTCTTTTTTTTTTTTTTTTTTTTTTTCAAAACAGCTCCAGGTTTAGAATTATGAGCAATGTTTGTCCATGGTGGACAACTGGGAGAGGATCTTGGATGACCTGCAACAAACTCTACCAAATACTCATCTGACTAGTTGTAGGTATTTTATTTGTAGCATGCTTTTTATGTGTAGTTTATCAAGGCTGGTTTATGACATGACCATATGTTTTTTAGCTGTGTTCTTACTGTGGTTTGAGTGTTTTTAATTTCTTCCTCCTTGTTCTCTCAGCATAACAGATAATAGGAATCAGCAATACTTGAAATACCCTGATCTGTGGCTTCCTGGTGGGAAACAAGATGAGTCACCAGTAACTAAAACCAACAGCCTTTATGTCCCTGGATTCAAATTTGTTCTTCTCAGTATAATTGTTCAAATACTTGCTTTCCCCACTGACTTCTCCCTGGCAGTGCAGCAGACTGCCAGACTGGGAAGGAAGAAGTGATAGCAGTTAGAGCATGTGTAACAAGCCCAGGAAAGGGGCCCACCAGGGATGGATGTGGATGCTCAGACCTAAGTGCTTCACCAGACTGTGAAGCAGTAGGAGACTGTATCTCCTATCATATCTAATAGCATGATTGGGCCAAGTATTTATTATAGGATAGCAGAGATTCTGTCTGCCAGGTTTCCTGGGTTCTTGCACCAGGCTTCTGGACATGGCAGGGGTAAGTGGTGCTTCTGTTGTTAGCCATACCTTTGGGAACACAGCACCTTGCTGTCTGTCAGTAACACTGAAGTCACTTTTACTAGCAGATGAACAATGAAGTACTAAAAAATCCCAACAAAACCCCCAGCAGTCCAAATATTAGCTATGCCATTGCTGTGTTTAGAGAGGAAGATGAAGGAAAAAAACCCCACAGAGATCTGCCTACATCTTAAATCAGTTATAAAAATTTTCACTTTTTTATCCAGGAAACCAACAGTCAGGATGTCTGTGCAGCCTTACAGATATGAGAACCCAATTTCATGATACTGTGAATATGGCTTTCACTCAAGAGATGTTGGGGTTTTTAAAATCATTTTTTTAAGATAAGTTTCTTCATATAACCAAACTCTCCCTGGTATTCTCTTTATGGTGAACCCTCTACACAACTCCAAGTTCTCCTATGATTTATAACTTTGTCAGGGAAAAAATGTTAACACTCTCCTTTAACTGTCCCTCTAAGCTTCAGAAATATTGACATTCTTCAGATACGTTTAAGTGGAGCAAGACCCCGAACAGAGCTTTAAATGGAAATTTTGGGGAGGAAAAGGTAAAGGAATTTGTATACCTGTGGAAATGTTGTCCCCTGGCAGGTGCCAGTATGTTGGGCTGCAGGTTCTCTCTTCCAGAGACATCTTGGACAGGAACAAGAGTATCAGCAGCATAGAGTGTTCTTGGCATTTCACTTTCCAGACATGCGTCTATCACAATGCTTTCTGAGCATGTCTATGCATTTTCATCAGATTTTGCTGTCCTCTTCCTCCTCTGAGCCCAAAATATCCCAAATTGCTGCTAGGCAAATCTTTTCACTCAAAAGGTATTGTATAGGAATAATTTGTAACTTGGTAGGTGATTTTGTTATGCTTTACAAGGTTTTCTATGGGTTAGGATTCCTCTGCACATGGGAAGACTCTCTTGATGGAAGTGAATGACTGGTATTCCTTGAGAAGTCATTGACGGGAATACAGCTGAAGTGTGTCAGACTAATTTGTTATGAAGTGTATACAGGTTAACAGGGCACTTTTGGAAATGGAGCACTTGAGTGTTGGTGGCTAACTACAGAGTAAACTTTAAAACAAATTTTTTCAAGTTTGTTAGATTATAAATAAATGAATTATAAATACCAAGTTATGGAATAACCTTGTGACCTCTTGATGATTTTTGCAACTTTCAGGACAAGTAGCCCCAGTAATTATCCATGTTACTGGAAGCTCTTCCTTTCTGTAGTGTTTGATGTTTCTTTGGCTCCTTGTGGCTTAATCCAAACTATGTTTGCTAAAATAATCTTTCACTGCCGTTCTGACTGTTTCTCTGTTTTGGAAGTAATCTGGTAATTCCCCCTTTTCCAGTTATATGGTGACCCACAGCACCAGCTTGAGGCCATCACTTCCAAATCTTCATAGCTTGGTGCTCTGGGTTCTGGGTTGGCAGATTCCTGGCTCCTTCAAGCAGATTTACATCTTCTTCCAACCTGCAATTTGGGAGAGGTGAGGCAAAAAGTGAAACAAGCACATTTGAATCAAATGTGCATGTGTTTAAGGTCAGCAGTGTTTATACTTTGTTACCTCATCCCTGCTATTTATCCTCTTCATTCTTAGGCTCATAGGTATAACTGGGAAGGGAAAAGTCTTCAGAGTACAATTGTGGATGGGAATGTGAATGGAGGCTCTAAATTCTCTAATTCTCTCTTTGATTCTCTAAATTAACAGAAATCACAGAATAGGCAAGTTCGGAAGGGATGACAGTGGGTCATCTGTTCCAGCCTCCCTGCTCAAGCAGGGTCATCCCAGAGCACACAGCACAGGATTGTGTCCAGATGGTTTGTGAATATCTCCAGTGAGAGAGACTTCACAGCCTCTCTGGGTAACCTGTTCTGGTGCTCCCAGAAACAGCGATTTCTTTATTTCTGTGAGAATGGCATGCATAAATATTCCTGCATTTAAACGTGTAATAGCAACTTTGGTTGTACCCAAGTGGTTTGGGCATAGTTGAGATTAAGGCGGCATTTTTACTAGATCATCCTTATCTTGTAAAGGATAAAATAATCCTTATTTTTGCATCCCAAAGGATTTCAACAGGGATAGGGGAAGGCCAAGGGCTAGTGAATGTTCTGTGTGGGACTGCCTTACTGAGCCTGGAATGGACAGTACCTGCAAGTGAACACAGGCAAGGCAGAAGCTGCCTTGGGTTCGTGCCTGCTGGGCTGTGACGTGAACTGGGTTTTCCTGTCCTGCGACATTTTTGGAAAAGTTAAAAAATTTCTCATTCTGCATGGGACAAAGTGTACTTTTTTTGTTTCCTGCACCCTGTGCCTGTCCTGACCTTTACAGAGGTGCTGCCTGAGGGCTGGTGGGTGTGTGCTGGGGCTGCCCCATGGATACTGGGGCTGCCATGAGTTTGTGAGCAGGACCATTTCCCCACTAACGGAGCAGCTCACAGAATCCGTAGGGTTGGGAGGGAGCTCTGGAGATCACCTAGTCTAACCCCCTGCCAAGGCAGGGTCACCTTGAGCAGGTGACACAGGAACACATCCAGGTGGGGTTTGAATGTCTCCAGAGGGAGACTACTACTTCCCTGGGCAGCCTGTTCCCCTCAAGGTCAATAAGTTCTACCTCATGTTGAAGTGAAACTTCTTTTTTGGGTTATGGCTATTGCTCCTTACTCTGATGCTGGGCACCAGGGGAAAGAGTCTGGCACCATGCTCTTGGTACCTGCCTTTGAGGTATTTGCCTCCATTAATGACATCCCCTCTGAGTCTTCTCTAGACTGAACAGGCCCAGCTCCCTCACCCTCTCCTCATGAGAGATGCTCGGTCTTTGTGGCCTCTGCTGGACCCTCTGCAGTAGCGCCTTGTCCTTCCTGTACTGAGGAGCCCAGAACTGGACACAGCACTAGAGATGTGGCCTCACTAGGGCCAAGCAGGGGGGTAGGATCACCTCCCTCAGCCTGCAGGCCACACTTTTCCCCAGGATCCCATGGGCTCTCTTAGCTGCAAGGGCACTGCCGGCTCATGGTAACTTGTCATCCACCACGACTCTCAAGTACTTCTCCACAGTGCTGCCCTCTAGAAGGTAAGCCCCAACCTGTGCTGGCCCTTGGGGCCGTTCCTCCCCAGGCGCAGGGCCCTGCACTTGCCCTTGTTGAACCTCCTTAGGTTTCTCTCCTCGAAGGCGGGTCCCGGGCGGCATTTCGGGGGCTGTCGGGGGCCGGTCCCGCGGAGCCGGAGCCGCGCACATCCACCCGGCAGGTGTCAGTGTGGGCTGCGGGGCCGGGCGGCAGCGCCGCCTCCCCTCCCCCGCTCCGCCCGCCCCCCCGCCGCCGGCCCCCGCGGCCTCCCGCCCGCCCGCCGGAGCCAGACTCGCTGCAGACAGGCGGCAGCCAGCGGGGCGGGCAGGGCGGGGGGAGGAGGAGGAGAGGCTGGGGATGAGTTGGAGGCAGGCACAGCCTCAGCGCAGGGCGAGCGGCTGCCGGAGACAGGCAGGGGGAGGAGGCGAGGCGCTCCGGAGGAGGCCGGCGCGGCGCGGGGGCGAGCGGCGGGGGCCGGCGGGAGGTGAGTGCTGCCCGCGGCGGCGGGGCCGGGGGCGGCCGGGAGGCGCCGCGTCACAAAGTGCTGGAGAAAGTGCGGCAGGCTCGCATCGAAGGTCTGTGAGCGTGCGGGGGACGAGGCGGCGGCGGCTGCCGTGGGGCTCCGGCGGCGCTCGCCCACCCTGCCTGCCTTGGCGGGGGCACTGCCGGGGCCGCGCTGAGCGCGTCCCTCCGCGGCACCTGGGGCAGGTGGGGATGCCGGCGGGCAGGGCAGCGTGACAGGTACCGCTGGTAGCGGGGCCCGGCTGGGGCTCCGGGGAGCCCCGCTGCCGTCCTGCCCCGGCCGGCCCGGGAAGCAGCCGGAGCGGCAGCCGGCACGGGAGAGTCCCGGGGCTCCGCAGGAGAGGCGGAGGCGAGCGGGGCTGCGGAGCCGCCGCGGCGGGCAGGGCGCTGGGAGCGCGGAGTGAGCGGCACGTCCTCCCCGCTGCTCCCGAGCGAGGACCGCAGCTCCGCTCGGTCAGGGCCGGTGTCACAGCCCGGCTGCGGGACATGCCTGGCCCGCGGGGTGACCCTCCCGGGGATGCCCGGCCGCGGTGCGCGCCCAGCGCCAGGAGGGCAACTTTGGCAGGGAGGCAAAGCGGCGGTGCGGCTGCCGGGCTCACGCACCAGTGACCTATATTTGATGGAGTGCCTTTTTCCTCTTAAAAAAAAAAAGTTTATTAGCAGAAGTCTAGCTTTGCCTGGCTGTATCGGATGCCTGCCTGCGTTGTTTGCAGTGAATATGTGCATCCCGAATTTCTGAATGGTGTGCCAGGTTTCCTGTCATGTAGGTAGTTATGCGTAGGCTATGGTTCGATGCTTGCTGAAGAGGCAAACACACCGTTGTGTGTAGGTTTAAGTTCGGTAAAGAACAAACAGGAGGCAGGCAAAATGATAAGTAACTTCTGTTTTCTTGGGCGATCTTAACACCTAGACTGGTATAGATTTTAGTGGGATTCAGAACCTTTTCTAAGTAGCAAATGGTGGTTGTGCAGGAGAGCAAAAATCAGGTGAATAATTTTATGTGGTTAAAAATAGTGTTTGATGTTATAAAAGTTTGTTCATCTAGAACCACAGACATCTTCTAGTCAGGATGGAAGGCTCCTTTAAGAGATTTGTCTGAGCTTCCAAACCAAAACCATCCTGCGTTAAAATATTGTGGACTGGAAAGGTGCGTCACGTAGCATGAGGAATGAGGTGTCTCCAGCATCATAAATCTGAAGCTGACCAAAAGGGGGAGAGAGTTTTTGCCAGTAAGAAAGCCCAAGGGACAATTACCAGTAGTCATAGATGAGGTAAGAACGTAAATGCTGCCTAAGCAGGGGCAGTGCTCTTGCTGGTCCTTCAACACCTGGATATGTTGGTTAGACAGAACTTCAATTCTGCTTTCCAACTTCATTGCTAGGAAAATGTTTTGGGAAACCTATTCTTTGCAGTGGTCCAGAGCACTCTAATATACGATGCATCCTTGAGTAGAATTAAATTACTGTGCATGATGCACACGTATTTGATTCTACTAATGAATGTATAAATATTATGGCTTAGTGGCTTTAAATGGAAGGGGAAGTTTTGCTGGAAAACCACTGTACTCACTGGTGGGAAGCAGCCTAATCGACATCCCCTTGTCCATATTAGCTGAGGTAGAGATGATAATCTGAACATCTATATCTGTACTGGAGGTGTAGCACCAGGTATTAAGTTACTGTGACACACAAAATGACCAGCATGAAGAGGACTCAAACTAGAATGTGTCAACTCTCTACAGTTACCTATAGAAGTAGAAACACCTCTTTTTGTATAATCAGTGTTTATACCAGCACAGTTGGTTGCAGCTCAGGTATGTGAAGATCATTGTTGCACACACATAAGGCATATTAATGTTCTCCAGTAAATTCAGAAGCCAGAGTGGGCCTAAATGATGAGCAGTGTGTAACACAGAATGAGCTAACAGCGTGAGAGACACTATTTCAGATCATTGGTTTTGGTTAACTGAAACACGACAGGCACTAGGCAGCATTTGACTGATGCAGTTTTTAGTCTTCAGGACCTTAGACTTATTACAAGAAAACTTATGCAAGTAGAAGGAAGTTGAGATTAAAGATTGAGGCACAGTTGTATTAAATGTGGTAAGATTACAGTCATTGGCAGTAGCTTAACCTAGGAATTTAGAAGTAACTCACCTTTTGTTATTTTTAAGTAGATAAAATCCTGTTTTCTCTGTGCAGAACATTAAAGTGAGACTTGAAATGAGGAATTGTTGGTTTCCCCTGCATTGAAGGAGCATTGTTGCAAGAGAGGATTGTGGGCAAGAGGGGATTGAAAGTTTTCTCTCTGATTATCCTGACCAAAATTTAGTTATTTTTCAGCTGCCCTGCAGTACCCTGTAGCGCTGTCTAGTGCTGCCTTTCCACCAAAAACTAGTTTTATGTCAGTGACACTGTCTGAAATAATTTGGAATACATTCCAAATGCGAATATGATGTGACAGAAAAAAGTAAATAATTATTGAAATAATAGAGAAATACCTTAAAAGTATTTTAATTTAGCACAGTCTCAGAGAGAAATGAAGTGCTAAAAAGTGCCTGCCTGTCCAACAAGTCTTGCATCAGGAGTCAAGGTTATTGCCTTTAACTTGTGAGTGGTCTTGGAAAAGTGTTGTTTGTTTTTTTTTTTTTTTTTTTCCTGTCTGGTTTTTCATGGTTCGAAACAGCTCCCTGCAAGTGCATTGCCAGTTACAGAATGCAAATACTTCTAGGAGTTTGGAGATGAATTTTTCTGCAGATTGGTTCTGTGGTAACCGTGAAATTCTTCAATGGCACCAATCTAGTATCAGCTGCTCGTTCAAGGCACTGGTGCCAGAACAGTGGTGCATCAGTTGCTGGGAATCCAAGCCTGTAGTGAAATGATTCATGCATATACATTTTTCTTTTCTCAGTTGACAGCTATTTTTAAGAATAGCTGTCTTGCCTAGAAGGTTGATATCTAAGCAAAGGCAGCCTAGATAGCTAAAAATTTCTTTCACACCAAACATAATCTTAGTACACTAAAACACTTAAATGGAATTGATTTTAATTGATTCTTGCTGAATCTCTGGTTCTAATTGGCCATTATAAAGGGACTGTGGTGTTTTGGAGCTGATGTCAGGAAGTTGGCAATTTTTTGCACAAAGAAAGATGATGAATTTGAAGTACATGTCAGTTTGAAGAAATTTACAGTAATAATGAGTAGTGATATCTATATGGTAGCAGATTACTTGACTAACTTATCGAAATGAATTGGGTTCTCTGGGTACACAAGCCTGAAGAAATGATCTTGAAATGACACATTTGTCCAGTGTACTTTAAAATTCTCTGTGTGCTGCATGGGCAGAATATTCAAGTGAAGGAAAGCCACGGGCCTTTCTTTTTTTCCTTGTGTTCTTTTGAGCCTCATATTTGAAAAAGAAATGTGTTTTTTCTTTTCCTCTTAGAGAGTTTTATTTGCTTGGTTCTGAGACTGTCAGTTGAATAATAGTAACTCTAAGGGGACAGCAGTAGAAAGAATGCTTGCAGGTGAATAGGAGCATGACATTACAGTGTGTCCTGTATTTCATGCTGGCAGAATGTGGTGGTGTTCATCATCTGTATTTATTTAATATATGGATTTCTGTTGTGTATGCTTTGATTTAGCATGTTTGCAGTATGCAAAGTATAGATGCATTTTACTAAATGCTTTTTCTTATTGTGTAGTTAAGCAATGGAAATTTTCAAGCACCAATATCACCATTCATTATCACTCAGCATAATAATTGGTAAATTTAATCTTCCTGATTAAGATTATTTTGCTCACAGGAGACAAGGGACTGAAAATAAGTAATTTTCATGATGTTGTGCTGTGTCTGTGTTGCTCGTATCTGTTGTTCTTTTCTCTAAAATCCTACTACAGAGAACACACCGACCTTTTAAACTGTGTTTGAATGATCTTGCTCTACATCAAGCTTTTCTTTCAGGTAGGAGACAGAAATTAAGAGGAATGTAAATGCATTTTTTCTTCTTATTGCCAATGGAGAGCTTTCCTAGATTTGAAGTAAGTTTTCTTAGTGCCAAGTGGTTGACTTTTCTAGAAAAAAAATCCCTCCAGGGTATGCAAAAAGTCCTCTGGTTAATATATTGGCATTCCCAGAACCCACTAAAGCTTAGGCAGGTTGCCAGACACCACTTAATGAGGATGCAGAATGTCTGGCACAAATCTGCATGAAAACCAGCAAAGGAGCTGGGGGTGGAAGTGCATGTGGTGGGGAGAGGGCTGGGAAGGCGGCACACACACGCCCATAATTTATTTTTAATGTCTTCATTTTGCAGAGAAACTGATCAGAAGTCCTTACCACAGGATTTTGAAAACTTGCTGGGAGCAGGAGTCTGGATCCTTCAAATTGGGAGAGCTGTGTTCTCATAGAAATGCAGTTTTATTAGGAGAGCAGTTTATGAGTTAGGGGGGTTAGTTTTTTGAGGAGAGCCCCAAAAGAGGATGGATATAATAGTGATTTTATGTTTTATTATCTGCTAAAACTGAAAAGCACTTGAAAATGTTGTTAGATGATTTGAGGGACAAGGGAAGTCAGTGATTGCCAGCATCCCCACAGAAAAGCTGTTAAAGTTACATGGCAGGGATAGATGAATTCCTGCTGCTGGGACACCTCTGCTCAGTGTAAACCTGTGGTGGGGGCTCTGCCTGGTTCTGCTGAGCTTAGGATTTGCTGCATGTTAGGTGGAATTGCAGGTGTAATAGATTCTCTGGTGACTAGGTAACTGTTAGAAGAATCAGTCATTCACCCAGATGAGGTGTTTTTCCATAAGAGTGCCATTAAAACCAGAATATATTGGTTTGTGTTGAATCAGATATTTAGTCTTAAAGGTTGGCTGAGCAAACTTAGCTATATTCTGAATTGAACATTATTTCAGACATTTAAAGTGTGAAAATTTTCAGCATTTTTTCCCAGGCATTAGTC